CAGTGGTGTGAGGGTGACTCAGTGACTGAGTGGTGTGAGGGTGACTGAGTGGTGTGAGGGTGACTGAGTGGTGTGAGGGTGACTCAGTGGTGTGAGGGTGATTCAGTGGTGTGAGAGTGACTCAGTGGTGTGAGGGTGACTCAGTGATGTGAGGGTGACTCAGTGGTGTGAGGGTGACTCAGTGGTGTGAGGGTGACTCAGTGACTCAGTGATGTGAGGGTGACTCGGTGACTCAGTGGTGTGAGGGTAACTCAGTGGTGTGAGGGTGACTCAGTGACTCAGTGGTGTGAGGGTGACTTAGTGGTTTGAGGGTGACTCAGTGGTGTGAGGGTGACTCAGTGGTGTGAGGGTGACTCAGTGACTCAGTGATGTGAGGGTGACTCGGTGACTCAGTGGTGTGAGGGTAACTCAGTGGTGTGAGGGTGACTCAGTGACTCAGTGGTGTGAGGGTGACTTAGTGGTTTGAGGGTGACTCAGTGGTGTGAGGGTGACTCAGTGGTGTGAGGTTGACTCAGTGACTCAGTGGTTTGAGGGTGACTCCGTGACTCAGTGGTGTGAGGGTGACTCAGTGACTCAGTGGTGTGAAGGTGACTCAGTGGTGTGAGGGTGACTCAGTGACTCAGTGGTGTGAAGGTGACTCAGTGGTGTGAAGGTGACCCAGTGGTGGGAGGGTGACTCAGTGGTGTGAGGGTGACTCAGTGGTGGGAGGGTGACTCAGTGGTGTGAGGGTGACATGGCTTTGTTTAAGAAGTGTTTGAAGATGGAGAATGTGACTAGGACAAACTAGTGACTGTTATAGGACAGAGAATGAGACTAGGACAAACTGGTGACAGTTTTAGGACGGAGAATGAGACTAGGACAAACTGGTGACTGTTATAGGACAGAGAATGAGACTAGGACAAACTGGTGACTGTTATAGGACAGAGAATGAGACTAGGACAAACTGGTGACAGTTATAGGACAGAGAATGAGACTAGGACCCAACAGTTTCACTTCATCAAACTGCGACATAGATCTAGTTGATTTTCATTTTAAAGAATGGTGACCTACTGTAATACTGTAGTAATGTTGAATAGCCCTTCTTGATGGCCTCTAGCCCAACTCTCAGGTTAAAAATGGGAATGATGACGACCATGTTGAATAACAGAGGCAAAATGTCTCACCATTGTGACGGGGACAAACTGTCTCACCATTGTGACAGAGACAAACTGTCTCACCATTGTGACAGGGACAAACTGTCTCACCATTGTGACCGGGACTCACCATTGTGACCGGGACTCACCATTGTGACCGGGACAAACTGTCTCACCATTGTGACCGAGACAAACTGTCTCACCTTTGTCCGCTCCGCAGAGCTCCCTAAGCGACGCAGTGTACGAGAGTCTCAAACATCTGGCGGGGGACTCCAACCAGGCTGTGCAGATTCCCCTGGACTGGTGTGATCTGAAGCAGCTGGTGTTCGGCGTGCTGGAGGGTCTGACGGCGGAGGAGCTCGGTGATTTGTCGCTGGAGGAGTACCAGGCCTATAGCAGGAAGCTCAACGCCATCGAGAGTGAGTTGTTGGTTACTGAGGACCGCACCGCTCAGACAGTCGGCGGATGGCAGTGTAGAGGCACAAATACTATGTATAGGCCTTCCTTTTCTGATATTGACAAAACCTGGCGGTATAACAGGGGGGTGGGGGGGGGGGTACAACGAGGTTTGACTGTTCAGTGAGTCTGCTTGAACCAAAGTCTGAGGGACTGCTTACTTTTCCTCTCTCTACACGTTTTCCATTTAGTGAGATCGTTTCAATGCGAAAAAAAAGATGGAAAATTCTCTTTTCTGTTGGATTATTGCTGTTTTGAGATAACTGTGTTGTGTTTTAAATATGTCCTTGGGGGAAGCTTATGTTTGTGATTGGCTTGTGAGAAGTAGTTTTCTAACATTAAAATGGAAGAAAGAAGGCTGTCCCCTGGGGCAGTCACAGAGATTGTCAGAGGTATTATACTGTACGATAGCTTGCTGTAGAGAAAAGAAATCATAATTGTATTTCTATAGGGCATGGCCGGGCACTAGAGCGTGGTCTGTGCTCGCTACAACTATTGGGGTGGGGGTGTTGGGTGGGGGTGGGAGCTCTACAACTATTGGGG